TGGTCAGTACCTACTGTAATTGAGATTAAACTAATGTTGTGATATACATCACAAGTGACCACATCGTGAGACAAGCAAATATAATTTAAAAACACACTTAATGCAGCAGTACTTAAAAACTGTAAAGTGTAAATTAAAGTACAACTTGGAATTAATACTGTTCTTATAGTACATGTACATATATTTTCATTGAATAGGCTTATGTTTGTTGTTTTAGTTAATGGTGGCTACTCTCCCTGGAGTGACTGGACACAGTGCACAGTCACCTGTGGTGGTGGAGAGTCTTTGAGGTCACGTCAGTGTACAAATCCTGCACCAGAGTTTGGTGGAAAGGACTGTTCATCTCTGGGATCATCCTCTGAGACAGTGAAATGCAAGAGTGATCCATGCCCTGGTTAGTGTTTACAAAGCCAGCATCAAAAGTACAGTCAACCCCCAATAACTCGCACTTTTGCTAGCTCAAACCTGGCGGTAACTCGGACCTAAGTAGATTTTCCCTGGAAAACTTGATAACTCAAACTTGCTGCTAACTCGAAGCAATTTTCGTTTCCCTTCAGGTCATTTTCTAATGTATAATTAAATTACCCATGTTAGCTCAAACCATGATTGTCTATTTTTCCATTTTTACCCATCGGAGACTGTAGTCTGACAGTCAAAGCTCAAAATTTTTTTTAACTTTTTATAGCCAGTGAACGTTTTTGTAATTTTTTTTATTAGCCCATTCTTGTCCAATTTTATGTTAATTGTTTAATAATTCTCATTCCAATTTAGTGAATGGTGGTTACTCTCCTTGGCAAGAGTGGTCACCATGTAGTGTAACTTGCGGCAGTGGAGAGCAAAACAGGATGAGGATATGCAACAACCCTGCACCCAGTAATGGAGGAGGTGACTGTATGGCTATTGGCCTCGGTCAACCTACAGAATTTAAAGCATGCTACCTTGAAGTGTGCCCTGGACGTACGTTTATTCTCTTTGTTCTTTATATAGTAAAAAACATGCTGCCAAGCTGGTGGATGTTGAATGTGTAGATGTATGTACTATGTAGGTGATGTTTTTTCAGTTCTAGAAAATATTATTGGATTTGGTAGCCACCCCATGCGACAGGGTTCGTACAGGTCATGGAAAGCCTGGAAAGTCATGGAATTTATTATTTCAATTTCCAGGCCTGGAAAGTCTTGAAATTCAAGTGTGGGTCATGAAAAGTCTTGGAAAAGCAATATGCTTTCTGAGGACAAAAAGGCAAAAAAGACAAAAATCGAAGAAAATAACAGATGAGTCTGAAACAGGCTTTAATTACAGTACAGATAGACACAAGCAGGCATTTCATCCATTATAATGCTGGAAAATCTGTTAAATAAGTGATTGTTTTGATACTACTGAGAGAAGAGTTACTTAACTTTGGTCATGGAAAACTCAGAAAAGTCATGGAAAAGGTCATGGAAAGTCATGGAATTTTGATTAAGAGTACGTATCCTGCAGCAAGGTCATTGGAAATTATGCATTGTAAATGTACTGAGATTGAAGGAGGTTTTAAAACCAAAATCTTGAAGAAAAGAATGAATGCACTCTGTACTTTAGAATGTTTAGAGAGGTGGCGGGAAGGAATTCTTTGGGTTGGGGCAATTTAACACCTTTTGAGAGGGTTTCGATATTCTCTACAGCCATTGGCAGACAGGAGAACTAGGCAGTCGAAGATATCTCAGTGCACGCTTCTTATAAGTATTGGTACAAATTAAGTCAGGCGAACAGGATACTAGTAAATAAACAGACATCTTGGAATGCAGACTAAAACAAGTTTTCCTTTCTGATTTTTTTTTTCAGCTCCAGAAACTGGTTGGTCTGAGTGTTCCAAAACATGTGGCGGCGGTGAAAAGTTCAAAATGGTCAACATTGGTGGACAGATGACAAAGAAAGTCATAGCTTGTAACAATTACCCATGTCCAGGTACATGTATGGTTTAAGTTTGGTCTTAGTTAAAACTACTGTACGTTGTATTGTATACCTTCAGGACCAGTGTTTGCAGTGATACGTCTCTTTCATTTTAATACACGAGTATACAAAGAGAATTGTGAGTATGTGGCCAATGACACAATGTTAGTGTTCTGAGTAATACTCGACTACTGAATTTGATTCCTGAAATAACTTATGGCTCAGATAGGCATGAAATCTCTAAAAGCCAATTAATTAATTTAAAAAAAAAATCTATTGCAAATTCTCAACGTTGTTGCTTCCATACAGTTTTTTATTCTTTTCCAAGCTACAATGACGGACAAAAGTCTTAGAACAAGTAGGCACTTTTGGCTTTTTTTGCACACACACCAGACGCGAATACAACTTTACCTGCACAGCCTCTCCCCGACCCCGCATACAATGTTGAAAGCTAGTACCTGCAATTTCTTCCGAGTTTCAATATTATATTAGGTAGAGAAGGGGGAACAGCAAAGCATTTTTTAAAAGGTTTTTTTGTTTGTTTGTTTGTTTTGTTTTTTGGTTTTTTTTTTCAAACTTCAGGTGTGAAACACAGACAATTCATTGCATTACATCTGTTCCCCAAGGACGTTTGTCCACGATTGTAGAAACATTGTTTTTGTCTACCGTAGAATAATAAAGCAAAATGATAGCGCGCTCCCTGTTATACTTATTAACACGTGTTCTTTCAGCAAAGGACAATATCCCTTTATTGTACTTCAGTTTTCTGTTGATAAGCATTGAATTTTTCATTCTTCGTAGTTGATGGCGGGTTTTCTCCCTGGTCCAACTGGACTGAATGTTCACAATCTTGTGGAGGAGGAGTTTCATCAAGAACACGAGTTTGTATAAACCCCATGCCAATGTACGGAGGCAAAACATGCCCTGGAAAACCTGTGGAAACTAAAGAATGTAACGTAGAGCCTTGCCCTCCACCGAAAAGTAAGTACACTAATGTAATCCTTCAGGCTACTGTGCTACACATGTATTCTTTGAATAATTCACTTACCGATGATCCGCTGGAACCACAAGATTTAAAATTGTTCCTAATCCAGATTTTGCAATCTTTTAGATAAACCAATCCAAATTAATTCTGTAGGAAGCTAAATTGTGCTTTAGATATGAAACCATTAGGATTATAATAACCATGTCAGTTAAGCCTGCATTTTACACGTAAATGTTACAGTGTATAGAAGTTGCGCTCTGTGCGCAATGCTTACCTTACGACATTCAGTTAGTTACTAGAATGAAAGAAGTTGACCTTGGTGTTATCCTTTTCTAGATATTTTGAGCATGAAAATCTGACTACTTAGCCAAAATAGACTGGCTTCAAAGAATTTGGTTGCAATGCGTTTCACTTAACTTGTGAAACATTTCCACTGCAGAAGAAGATTTCACTAATGTCAGTGCTGGAAAGTATTGACTTATTTTTCTCCAAACTTTGCAGTTCCCATTCGTTCATGCCGTGAATTTCTTGAACGCTGCCACAGTAAAACTGATGGTCTTTACACCATCTACTTACAAAAGCCGAACTCAGCAGAGACAGGCAACGTCTTCTGCGACATGACACACGACAATGGAGGCTGGACCTTAATGATAACTAGTGCTACCAATCAGGGCTGGACCAAGGACAATGTCAAAAGCAGGTATGTACATCCTGTGGCACTGTTCTGTCCTACTAGGCTGTCTTTAGTTTACATTTATTTTCTTTCGCTCACTTACGATGTGTATCGAAACAGATTTTGGTTATTTCATCACCATCATCTTTCGTTTTTCTCCTTGTGGAGAATAAGCCCATTCATCTGTTTCCTCCAAGCAACTCGTTATTTTTCCACACCTCCGCCTCCCTTGGCTCCAGGTCTTGAATCCAAGATGTTCTCTCTCCTTGTCGACCGTTTTTCTCCACGTCTCTCGTTTGCCTTCGGGTATCCATGTTAGTGATATCTTGGGATTTTGGTCTATTAACCTGTTACTTTTTTTGGCGATGACACGTGGACAGATCTAAATCAGCTGATCTCTTGGAAGTACTTACTTATACATACGTACAAACTGAATTTGCTTGTATACCCCCTTACCTGTGTCGGACCTCTTTATACACCTTTAGTTTCATCCCTTACCTTACCAACTTCTCTGTCCTTTAATTGAAGGAATGCAGCAGAGCCTTCTGTAACCAAGGATTACTCGGCACTAAATGAGGGAGACACAATCAAGTCCATTGCTGTTAGTCCTTATTTCCTGTATCGGCTGGAAGCACGAGAAAGGGGAACCAATGGTGGAATTTTTGTTGCACCTCAAAATTACAGGTAAATGATCTTATTTTGTCGTATAAAGCCTATAATCTTATGAAAGGCTATTTTATAAAATATTGTATTATTTTAGTACTTGTCTTTCTTTTTAGCACTGATGCTCTTTGTTATTTTGTTCTTCAAGAAAAAAATAAAGTTGAGCCGCACTGAACATTTTTACAGACATAGCCTGTCTATGCATTTTATGTTTTTTTATTTTGCGCGGGTACATATGTAACTTCACGCCCGTTAACGGACATACGGACATCTACAGACTTCAACAGATGTCACCACAAAAGGCAACACAGTAAGCGAACACAGTTTCTCTTACGAACTCTTGTTTGGTTTTGAATTTGCTTAGCCTCACATCTTCAAATTGCGGACAAACGGGAGTGCAGTTGTTGAAAAAGTTTGGCACGTGGCCTGAAGACCAAACGGGCATCGGCAAACGTATGCCGTACCTGGCTGTGGATGATGAGAAATCTCTATTGACGACATCCGATTGTCAAGACCAAGCCAGGTATGGTACGATTGTGTCTAAAACTGCTGACAATCAACCTGCTAAGTGGGTCGCTGGTGATGCGGAGAACCCAGGAATGATTTGGTACTGGATCAAAGAGTCTTCCACAATGCTGCAAGGTTGGTAAACATACACTGAGCAAAACGTTGCATACCTGCAAGCGGTTAGAGCGCTCAAAGCAAATGTGATTGTAAATTCATGTGTATCTATATGCTCAAGAAAATTGTGTAAACTGATTGACACAATCATCCCAATAAACTTCTCTGTCAGAACGAATGGCATGGAAAGTTATGAGATCCTACGTTTAGCAATTCCTTGAAACAAATGGCGGCCGTGTTTGCAAGTTACAAGTGTTGTCTTTGATTTTTATAGGTCAAATTTCGTGTGTTCGTAGCTTTTCTTAAGAAAAAAGAAAGAAAAACAATGTGTAAATCCACATATGTAACGTGGCTTACATTTCTTGGATTTCTTTGTACAGCTCCAGCAGAAGGAAAACCAGATCCAATGTGTCCCTTCCCAGGTATGACATACATGTAATAAGCGATGTTACAGTTAATTGTGTAAGGTTGATAAAAAAAGCATCTGGACCACACTACGCAATCTGTTGATCACAGACCATCCTGGTGCCTAGATCTTGTGATGAGCATTACTGGTCAGAATTGTAAAACGTGAATAAAGCGCATGCCGTATGCTTACACTATTTCTATTGCTTCACGCGGGACGTCTGCCTGGAGACTAGGATGCACAAGGTTAAGGTTTCTTGGCAAGTGTCGTGGAGTTTGCAAGTGTCATGCACGCTTGGTATGAGGCTTTCAATGGTTTTAAATGTATAATCATCATACCACACCACACTGTAGGCTGCTGAGTGATGTAACAGTAACATGAGATTCTAGATATAAGTTGGTGCCTGACATGTTTTAATATCCATTGGCAGTTCCCGGTGGCTATGATGAATGGACCCAATGGTCTTCTTGTCCAGTGACTTGTGGGGGTGGTACTCAAGTGAGAACCAGGAATTGCACCAACCCTGTACCACTCAATGGAGGTTCTGATTGCTCCTCAATAGGAGGGAACATGGAAACGAGGAATTGTAACCCTGAAGCTTGCCCGGGGGTCAAAGGTAACGTATGGAATAGAATTGCAAATGTAATTGCAGCAGACGAAAACCTTTTCATACGGACACCTCCATGATATGGACAATTACAGCTGTATATAACAAACAATTTACTTGGTGCCAGCGAAAACCGAATTCATGTAATCTTTGTCCCGTACCCGTAATGCAGAAACCGCTATGCTGCGGACAGCTCACTTTGTCCTTAAGAAACCAGTTTTTATGAGATCTCTCTTCCATAACACGAACACCTCTTGGAAAATTAACCTCGTTGCAGACAATTTAGGAACAATTTACGGAAAATTAGTCTCGTCCCATGGAAAGCAGAATTCATGTATCTATCATACAGACACTCAGTGCTGCCCGTTTGATGCAGGTATTGGAGGTTAGACTGTACCTGCCTGTATCCTGGTGAACTGTAGACTGGCTGTTCCACTGAAACAACTTAGTAAACTATATTTTGTTAGTAGAAATCTGCGAGACCGTAATTCCTTATCATGTTCCTTTGTTTCAGTTGATGGCGCCTACACTCCCTGGACTCAGTGGTCAGAGTGCACAGCAACTTGTGGTGGGGGAACACAAATGCGCAATCGATCCTGCACTAACCCTCCTCCTCAGAACGAAGGAAAGACATGTCTGGATCAGGGACTGGGTCCACAACTAGAAACTCAAAACTGCAATATGGAACCCTGCCCAAGTAAGTTGTTCAGATACATCAGAAGATTATCATGGTTTTATTGTGAAAAATGGTTTTATTGTTTCTACCGGAATTTTGGTTTCTTTTGGGGTACACTGTTTTTGCTGCTTCTTTAGTCCTTTCATGTCTTGTCTTTGATGTTATGACGTATTTTGCTTGATTTAAGCTTTACGATTAAGTGCCGTGAGTAACCTTTTGCGAAAACGTTTATATAGTCTAAACCAATTTTATGAGCTGCAGCTGTAACAAGCCGGTCTTGGTTGGTTTTGCTTACTTATGAGCTGACCAAGCTTTCCAGTTTTAATTACCCTAGATTAAGTTTCTTATTTGTTTTGCGTTGACTTTTGGTGTGGACCAACAGTTTCTTGTGTGACTAATATTTTGTATGTAATTTTGTGGTAGGTGTTTGTGTCCCAGCATGTCAGAATGGCGGTACGTGTGTAAATGCACAGTGTCAGTGTAGCCAAGGGCTCTATGAAGGAAACTATTGTCAAACACGTAAGTTTACAAGATTCTGCCGTTGAACCGCGTCTCCAGTTGCTAATGCTACTTGCGCACAGCTGTCCATGAGTATATAAAAGGTCTTTTTGCAACAAACCTTTTGGAAAATATATTGCTTTCAGTATAGGCGAATCTTTGCTAACGTCATTGTTTACATTTTTCCTCATTAACATACGACTTTGCGCATAGAAGGCATCATGCTAGACACGATTTTACAAGAGAAACTTAAAGAGCTTGTGAAACTTAGTAAGTGGTGAAATTTTTGGCTCTTTGGGTGTAATATTCGAGGAGAAATTGGCTTTCAAAAACATCAAAATTTCTGTGTGGCAAAAGCGCTGATGAGCTCATACATTCTTTGTAAAATTCTGAGCTTTTAAACCCGCGTCGCACAAAAAGTATTCAATACATCGCGCTCGAATTCCTTGGGACACTTAATCGTGCTGTGTTCTTTCAATATTCAGTATTAATCTCTTTGTAGCTCCATCAGAAACTGTATCGCTTATGGTAATGAGGCATATATTGTAAACAAAGATTCTCCTATATGAAAGTGCGTGTTTAAGAACAACGACTCATCGTCATCATTTGTGCGATAATGAACTTAAAAGATTAACCACATTAAAGAAGCTCAGTCACGGTATTTTGAGTTATTTTCGCTACTTACAAAATTACCTTTAAATTGAAGAAAACCCGAAAATAGATAGAACAAGATTGAAAAACACCAAAGAGATAATAATAAACCATAAGTGAATAAGGATGGTTAAGGATGGAGAAGATTAGCACAGATTGCAAACGAAAAGGTGCGAAAACCGTGCTTTAGCTCTTTCAATTTCGACTGAAGGTTTGGCTCCGTGAGTGAAAGACTTGACGCTACAAGTGGCAGAAATCAGATGAGATAAAACGAGAGGCGACCTTGAATTTTTTTCCTTCTCTACTGCTATATTAACTTTCTTTCGCCACAGTCTGGGAACTTGAACCAAGCCGGTGACCCTTTAGAAGTTCAGTGCATATTGTTCCTGTGCGCACTCATTCCTAATATTTCATTGTACATATTTTTCTTTCGTCTACAGCAATTTGTAAAGTTCCTTGTCAAAATGGTGGAACATGCACTAAACCTAATCAGTGTAAATGCCCTAATGGATATAAGACCACAACCTGCGGCGTTCGTGAGTATCTGAGCATTTTCATACTTTCTTTCTTTGTTTTATAGTATGTTTTAAGTACTAACCTAGCACTCTATTTGCTCATTTAATGATACATACTTTCTATCCAATGACTTGTTTTCTGTTTTTCCTTGCAGCTGTTTGTCAGCGTGTCTGTCAAAATGGTGGAACGTGCATTGCCCCCAACACGTGCCAGTGCCAGCCGGGTTACTCTGGCCAGTGGTGTCAAACCTGTATGTACCGGTCAAGCACGTTTTATTGTAGAAGACAATTTAGTGTATGAAGCATACATTCTTATCAACCATACGATATGTCGCCAAGCGAGTAAAATACACTGAATTTTGGACAAAAATACCATATGTATTTACTACCTTCCTCGACTTCTTTTTAGCTTGTAATTGTGCTACAAAAATTGAAGATATTTTTTTTTAATGGCAGCTACCTGCAAACCAGACTGCCTCAATGGAGGAACTTGTGTCAACAATAAATGTGTCTGTGCAGCTGGATATAAAGGGACTAACTGCAACATAGGTGAGGGTCATTTTTTTTTTTTTAATTGATTGGTTAATTGTAACTAAGGAGCGACTAATCAGTCCCTGCGCTGTCAGGTTTATAGAATTTGTAGACTCGAATATCTGGCATCTTTTACTGGGACTGAAACTGAACACGCATTCGGAGATGTGTTTGTTGTTGTTGTTGTTGTTGTTGTTGTTGTTGTTGTTGTT